GGATTTTTAAGACCAAGCTGGATCAGTTGATGAGGGATGTTCGTCATAACAAGATGTTTGGAGATGTGAATGCAGGTATATCTTCAAACTAATTTTTAACTAATTTCTTCCTAAATTTTATTATACCTTTTTGCTATTTACTAATTTTGACAAAACTATGGATTTACTGCAGCAATCTACACAATTGAATTCCAGAAACGTGGCCTTCCGCATGCGCATATCTTGCTTTTCCTTGCCAAGGAATTCAAGATAAAGACTACTGATGACATAGATAAAATAATTTCTGTCGAAATACCGAATGAGGCCACCGATCCATGTTACTATGCTGCTGTTAGAGATCATATGATGCATGGCCCCCGCGGAAGTGTTCGCCCGAATTCTCCGTGTATGGCGAACGATTGTTGCACAAAACATTTTCCAAAAAAGTTCTCCGAAACCACGACTCTTGACGAAGAAGGCTATCCACGATATAGACGGCGTGATAATGGCAGGACCATCGAAAAGAATGGCATTCCCCTGGATAACAGATACGTTGTGCCCCATAACAGGAAATTGCTTCTGAAGTACGGCGCGCACATAAATATGGAGTGGTGCAACCAGTCCAGGTCCATAAAATATTTGTTTAAGTACGTGAACAAGGGGAACGATCGCGTTACTGCCACCTTCCATGCGTCCAATTGAGATGAGGCATCTAGCAGGCCAGTTGACGAGGTGAAGATGTACTATGATTGTCGATACGTTTCATCTTGTGAGGCTGCGTGGCGGTTGTTGGAGTATGAGATTCAATACAAGCACCCATCTGTGGAGCGCTTGAATTTTCACCTCGAGAATGAGCATCCGTGCTACTATCCCGATGAAGTTCCGATCGATGAAGTGGTTAAGAAAAATAAAGATGCCGGCAGCAAATTTTTAGCTTGGATGGAAGCTAACAAGAAGTATCCCGAAGCCAGAAAACTCACGTACGTTGAGGCTCCCACCAAATTTACGTGGCACTCGGAAACCAACAG